TGGTTAGAGGTTAGTAAGGTCAGAGTTGTTAATGGGAGGTATTGAACTTGGACAAAGATACAATCCACCGGCTGCCCTTTTGGGCAGCAGTGGCCACAACCACAGCGGAGAAATGCGGGAAGGGATGGGAATTGAACCCCACACCCAAGATAAGATGCCCTTTAATCAATGGTTAAGTGGCCACTTGGGTCACATGGGCTTCTTGTTGTTTACCACATTTGATGGAAAGCAACAGGAGGATTCATCAGCAACTTTTTAAGTTCAGATGACTGTGGATGACAATATAAGACTTAATGTAAGAGACAAGATCCTAGGCTTGTTTAGACAAGACTCTTCCTTTTATCATTGGCTGTTGCTTCACAATGGGGATTTGAGAGAATTGTTAAACATTGACAATGTGAGTATATTTTTTGTAATAGTTTATTGCTTAATTGTACACATAGTTTCTGAATAAATAAAATTTTTTACATTTTATCCAACTATATATTTAGAAAGAGTTTTTGAATTTCGAAATAGAAATACTACATTTAATTAGGGGGAAAGTGCACTTATCCCCACATGTTTTGGAGTAGGTGCACTTAACCTTAAAATGACAAAGGTCTGCACTTAACTTGATAAATCATGCAAATGTGCTCTCGACCTTCTTGTAATTTGAAAATTGTGTGCTTGACCTTCTAAGTTTATTAATATTAATGTCAAATCTCAAAAACAAATAGAGGTTAAATGGATGTTTTCTAAATCACACAGAGGTTAAGGGTATATTTTCATGATTTGGGGGTTAAGTGCACATTTTTGTTAGTACATCCACTCCAAATAACATGAAATAAATAAATTTGCCCTTTATTTTAATTTAAAATTTAAAATTAGTAAATAAAAAATGCTTTGTGTGGTCTACACTATATAAAATTGGGTTTATCTATTTTATGCACTCAGGACACATGATGAGGAGTATTAATTGTATAATAATTGTTATTTTTTTGTCTTAAAAAATTTTATTTTAGGCATAAGGTGGGAATGAACCCCTACACCTGCAATATGGTAGCATTTATGTTCTCGAACTCAATGAGGTGGCAAAATACCCCCTATACTCAGGAATCAGCGGCAAATTAGCCCCTAGAGTAACTAGAGAAGTTAAGCGGGCGTTAAATAAAATGGAAAAAATACAGGATTAGTCCTTAAATAAACAATAGGACAATAGTTAAACCCCAAGAAAATCTTAATGGGAGACATTGCCACATATACAAGAACAATACTAAATATTTGCCTTCAAATTGAGCAAGTAGCTTAATCTAAAGAAAGAATTCTAGAAGAAATAAAAAAAAAAAAAGAAAAAAAGTCACCTAGTTGAGTTAAGACAAGAAAATAAGAGGATAAACTCAATAATATTACTATATAATAGACATATTAGATTTAGAGAACAAAAAATTAATAAATTAAAAAAAATTATTGATTTTCTAAAATCAACATGTACTACTACATTTTGTATCTATAGAATTTAAACTACAAGAAATAAATATGTAGCTAATAAACAACATTAACTACAACAAATTTAACCTGCAGCTAACTACCATTTTGATGGTTACAAGTAATAACTTCCCGAAGCTAATTTACAGTTTTAGCTTTAATTTCTAGTTTTGGTAGTAATATTTGATTTTCTAGCTACAAAGCTTTGGCTATAGATAAATTCCATAGCTAATTTTAAGTTTTGCCATAATATTAAAATATTTGTAGTAATTATAGATTTATAATAAAATTAATAGTTATAAAAAAAATTAAGATCATAACTAATACTAACATTTAACTATTGATTATAAATTAACTATATCAATTGAATTTTTTAAAAATCAAATAGTAATAAAAAAATAAAAAAATTAATTTTAATAAAGATAATTTTTGATAAAAAAAAATTAATTAAGGAAGTGTGTTGTAGCCCTTATACCCAACCCCAAGGTTGCCTTTCTCGCCATTCACCATTCCCCTGTTTCTGAAAATTCACAAATCTTAAATAGGAATTCCTTGTCCGAATTCTTCATCTTCAACAACCACATCACCTTTTATTCTTCAACTCCCTTTTTTTTCTCTTCACTCAGAACCCCTCTATTCTTCGACTTCCCTAACTCGATTCCACACTTTCTCAATTTCCCCTTCAGATCTCCGCTTGGAATCATAGAGGAAGAACGACCAAGAAACAAAATGTTGTGGAATAGGTTCACCCCGTCAAAAGGAAGCTTTCTTGGTTGGCACTTTTTGTTGGATCGTTTGCCAATCAAAGATAATCTTATCAGCAGAGGTGTTTCCTTGGGCATTTTCATTTTTGCTTTTTCTCATCTGGGTATTTGAATTTATTTGAATTTCGAATTGGGTATTCGAAAAGATTGGTATTTGTTTCTGGGTTTTTAATAAGAGAAAGAAGAGAATGAAGCCTGTCTCTGGGATTTTCGTTTCCAGTCAATTGCATACTTTTTGCTCTTGTCAAGGAAATACCTCCCTGCTCATATTAAGGGTTTGTGAATTTTTCGAGACAGGAGAAAGTTGAAGATAAGAAAAGCAAACTGGGAGGTCGGTCAACGCCCCAAGACTGAGCCGCCTCCGTTTTCCTTCTCTTCTCCGGTGCTGCTTCTAAAAAATTTGCAGAGGGGGACGACGCAGCGCCCTCTGTTTTTCTTCTCTTCTCCGCCAGCCTTGCTTGGGAAATCTGCACAGCAGCACGCCATTGAGGAGAAGTTGCAGTTTGGCTTTGCTCTTCATTGGGACTGGTTTTGTTCATTCTTAATTTGATTTTTACAATGATTCTTTGTTGGTTCTTACCAAATTTGCTTACAGGTCGCCATCACTCAAGATGTTTAATGTATACCACAAAGACGGAGTAATCTCGGTTTTATTTTGTCAATTTTTATATTTTATTTGCTCTAATTTTAGTTCATTTATTTACATGCTTTGCTATATGCTACCAAAAAGTATACAATGTTTCTTTATTTTTAGTGGAATCAATGTTTTCTTTTTTATATATTTGTGAAATTTACTTATTTTTCTCTCATGTGTCATGTGTGCATCCTTTCTTGTGGTTTCAAAGCTATGAAAAGCATCAGATTGCCCTGTTGACTCTTTTTTTCTTCTTTGAAGGCCAGATTTGTGAGTATTGGCTGCTCAAGAACTCTGACTTTGGCATGGAGATTGATTTGTATACTCTGCACTTTTTCTACTTTGTTCCTTTTACTTTAGAAGATTTTGTTCAGAATTATTACGGTTATAACTTTGTTTGACTTACCTTGACTACTTGGAGAAAATGCTTTTGATATTTCTCTGTCTCATTTTATTGTCATGTGGATGTTTGTAGGATTGATGAATGGATTGATCTTACCATCTTGCAAACTGCTTAGAGTGTGTTGACTAGGCCATCTTCAAGTAGATTATTTCTTTCTCAGGTTATTTTATTACCTTTGTTATCCTATTGTCTTTTCTTTAGACTTCCCATTAGTTCCTTTTATTTGAAGTAGATTTAGATTGTGTTGGTTTGTTTAACTTTATTTCTCTTTTCAAATATTTTGATATGTTTATGAATTTTGTGCTTAATATCACCATTGTTTGTGATTGTCATGGATAAATTAAATAAAATTAATTCACTTATTACATTTTATGCAGTGATTGTTTTGAGCTTTTGTGCTAAAGTGCACTACAACTCAATACATCCTTTTGGGTAAATATATCCTCTTTGATTTTGAAAGTTTTTCATGTGGTGATTGTTACAATTTGCTGATGATGTTATAGGCCAATAAGTATTGTTTTATTCTCATCAATAGTATTATTGCTTGGGTTATGCAGTTATGGGCAGATTTTTCTTCTCGTCAAATTTGGAGTTGCAATTGTCAGTTAGAGTTCTGAAGATGGTCAAGAAGAAGATTACTGGAGATTTTCCTTTTATGATTATCATATTACAAGTGAACTAAATGTAGAAATAGCTAAAAATGTTACATAAGTTAGAAAACTTATTATGCTAAAATTATTTTATGTTTAGATTTAGTAATTTATGGTAGAGTTTTGACTAGTTTACATGAATGTATATACTCTATTGATGTTACATGATGATCATTGAGTTATTAAATTATTGTACTTTTTTTTTTGCATTGTTGTATAATGATTGGAATTGTTTGTTTGAATCTTAATTTCATGTTATCAATCGCATTTATAAATAAAAATATAAATTTCTGGTATAAATAATTTTATCTAGAAATTTATTTATTTTATTATTATTATTGTTTTCTTTTTGGCCACAAGCCAATGTTTGTGGCTAAATAATAAAACAGTTTGCTATGAGTTTAGTTTTCATAGCTAAAGAATGAAGCAGTTTGCTCTGGGTATGGTTTTCGTGGCTAAAGAATAAAACTTTTTACTGCAAGAATATTTGTTGTGGCAAAAGGTGTAAAACATTTTGCCACGTACTTGTGCTTGTGGCAAGAAATATTATTCTTAGCTATGGAACAATTAAATCCGGTGGCAAACTTTTAGCCACGGCAAGCTGCGGGAAATATTTTTATGGCTAAACCATTTACTTTCGGGATTTTCACTATTTAGCTATGGGATCTCTTGAAGTGGTAGATGTAAAATGTAGTAGTGATGAATAATCAATAGATAAAATGGATTAACATGTCTCAATGAGAGTACTTTAAGAAGAATTAAAGAAATAGGAAATTCCATTTCACAAGAATTTGATTCTATCAAAGATAAGATAAATGGAGTTAAAAATTCTAGAGATGTGAAAGAAATAAAAAGAAAAAATAAGCTTTATTGATGACTCAAAGACTCTAATAACTTGAGTTAGAAATATAGAAATTAAAATAAAATAAATTCAAAAGATATTAATAGTAGTCATCGAAAAATTTGCAATAAAAACTTAAAATGTATAATAGAATAATTTCACAACTGGTAAGTAATATAGATAGGAATTTCTCTAAAATCCAAGCATAACTTAAGGATCTACAAGATATTATAATATAAGTCTGCAATAGATGAAATATTATAAATAGAAATGAAAGATTTAAGAGAATTTCAAAGATTTTCACAGAAAAACTTAGAACAAAGGGAATAACACTTTTTATGTTAAAAACTCAAGAAGAAAAAAATGAAAGAATTAGTAAAAAGATTCTTAGAGGGAGAAGATGTAGAAGAATTAAATAATCTGTGCAAATAGATTACAATAACTATTAAACAACTAGAAAATATGAAAATGAATACTCAAAGAGAAGAAAAGGAGGAAGTTGAAGAAACAAGAGAAGAAAAAAAAAAAAGAGAGACGACCTAATATAACTCCAATATAATTCCTAATGCAATAAGGGGTAGAATCTAGTTTTAGTCAAAGTTACAAAGGGAATAGAAACTAAATACATGAAATATTATATGGAAGAAATTTGAAAATCAATCTAAACTCGAAACTCCAATTAGAGTCGATGAACAAATTATTAGTACCAACTTGGAGTTCACATGTGGGTTTGTTTAAGGTTGTTAAATCCATGGACTTTAAGAATTAATTTAGATTTTTGTTTCTTTCCTCTTCAGTTGTGATTGACAATTAAAATGTAGGTTGAAATGACAATTGATTATGGTTTTGAATTTGGTTGCTTGTTGGATTCGACCTTCATGAATCTTCAATCTAGGAATGAAGAAATGAAGGGGGCAAGACTATAATTTCACTTGAGGGCAAAAGTTAGATTAAAGGTGCGGTTCGAGAATTTTTATTAATTTTAATCAAATAAGGTAGGTGAGAGTGGGGCCTACTTTTATATTTTAATTAAGATAAATAAACATTAATTTTAAGTGTCATTGAGTGGGTCCCATTTTTAACCTGTCATTAAGTAGTTGGCATGGGTTTTAGTTTAGTTAAGTATCTTTTATTAATTGTATTATTCATGTCATTAAAATAAATAAAAAAATATCATGTGGATTGAGTTTAGGGCTAAGCACTATACCATAAATACCGTAATTACCATTGTACCGTCTTATTACTAGTGAAAATGGTATGGGAAATTACCATATGATAGGTTTAAATGGTAATATGGCAATACCATTTAGACTTGTGGTACGGGATGGTATTGGAGGCTCATTACCATATTTACCGTATGGGCCTCTAAATTACCAAAATTGCCACTGGCCCAAAGCTTATTTTTTTTAACTTCAGAATATTTTTAATGATTTTTTTCTTAAAACGGTGGCAATTATTGTAGTTTTGTCAACAATTTGGTAATATAAATAGTAATATCTCATTAACCCCAACTTTCTTCCTCTACTTCTTTCTCTTTCGTCAGAGAGAAATTCTCTCTTTTATGATTAGTCTTATAATCTTATGAAATCATTTATGCATGCATGTTGCGTTTATATTCTTCAAATTTATAAATGCAAAATGAATGCTTATCTATGAGAATGGTTATCTATGAGACTAAGAGTTTATTGTTTTATAATATAGTTAATTAATTGCTTTGCTTGGTTCATTAATTGTGCATCATAAATTTGTAAATATTAATGATAGTAATACAAAAAAAAAATGATAATTTTGAGCTTTTACCATTGAATTTTGAATGACTTGAATTAATTGATAATGGAGAAAATAAGTTTAAAGATGGTAATATGGGATGGTATTGGTAAGGTAAGTTTCATTACCGTTAAAAACAGTTGGTAGCCATTACCAAAAAAATCATTAATTGGTATGGAAGTGGTAAATTTTTTTCATTACCACTTAGAACGGTCACCATCATTTGAGAGTGGTACGGTAACCATACCATACCATGCCTAGCCCTAATTGAGTTAGTAGACTTAACTAATTGAAAGATCAAAATTGTGCAATTTTTAGAATTGAAAGACTAAAATAGTGCATAAAATAGTTAGGCGATGAAAAATATGTAAAACTCTAAAGTTGAGGACCAAAATTGGCATTTAACCTAAAATTAACAATTGGGTAAATTCGTTTCCCATCCCTAACCTTTATGATATGGGACACCTTCATCCTGAACCTTTATTTAAAGCTAGCCTTCCTCCCCATCCTCAACCTTTCTTAAATTGTTCACCTAGGCCTTCGGTGAGAATGGGAGGTTAAATGATAACGGGAGTTGCTGATGTAATAATTAATGGACCTACAATAAATAAACACTTTAGAAAAATAATTTAAGATAATTTTTTATTATTTTTTAATATAATTTTATGTGTTATTTAAATAATTAATTCTTTTTATTTATTTAAAATCTATAATATTAATTAAGTGTATATTACATATAAAAATCATATAGAAAATTATCTCTAAATTACTGTCCAATACTTTAAACATGAAAAAGTTACTATTTATTTTTAATTTAATGTTACTAAAAATCCATCGACTTTACAAAAATATTTATTATCATTCTTTTACTTTAAAACAAGGGCAGAAGGTGCAATTCAGCTATCGTTCGGCAGCCGTAGAGTCCCAATTGGGACCAAAACTTGCCAAACGGTGAGTTATAGGTTCGATCTAGACCTGCACTTATTGAACAACAAGTCACAGTGCTACAATGAGTGGCTGATGGAGGGAAGAAGGAGAAGGGAGAGGAAAGGATGGAAGAAAGAAGGGAGAAGGGTTCCAAATCTAAAACCCAAATTTGTGTTTTGTTTCATTAATTATTATTATTATTATTATTATTATTTAATTTCCGTTTGGATGTGTATTGATTTAAGTTGTAGATTTGAAACCCAATAGATTATTGGTTTGGGAGAGATATGTGCAAAGATTTTGGTTGATTTGCTTGATGGGTTTTGGTTAGTTGTTGATGTGTTGGGTTGATTTGGTATTTGCAGAAAGCCTTTGGATTGACTTTTTTTTTTTTTTTTTTCTCAAATAGTTTTTAGATTGTTGACATGAAAGATTTTCCTATACTTCTTAAACAAGGAGGTTATTGTTTTTATTTTTTATTTTTTATTTTTTTGGTAAAATCTCATGTCTGTAATATGTGAGATTGAGAATGCAGGTTAGGAGGTTGGGAATGTTGTTGGAGTCAGGGGATAAAGTTACTATCAGAGATTTAACTTTTTTGCAGAATTTAATTTTTGTAGGATTTAATTTCATCAATTGATCAATTAATATAGCTCAAATGTGATAGCCAAGAAAGGAAGAAATGGGATTTACAGTGGAGGATTGGTGCAAGGATTTTGTTGGTGAGATGCCCAATTTAATTAGTTTTGAAGGGCTATATGGTCAATTCCTATTTGTTGCCAAATGAACTAGGGCAGATGAAAGAGGTCATGCCAAGTTGTTTAAAAAATGCCAGGTAAGCCGAGGTTAACGGGGCAATAAAAAACAAGATGGAAAATGACGTCATCATTAATGGAGGGGTTTATTTGCGACTTAATTAAGTAGAGGGGTTGATTTGCACTGCTTTTTAGTAGAGGGGTGACAAGCCACAACAGATAAAGTAAAGGGCTAAATGGCGCATAATGCCAAAAACAAGTCATAAATATCCCTAAACTATGGAGAAAGGACCAAGCAGCATCCCTCCATTGATGGGACATCGTAACGCCGTTCATCGACCCGTTAGAATTCTCCAAATTTTTATGACACAGCTGGTCCCTTAACTTTCAAATATTGTGCGCTTTGAACCTTAAACTTCAGATTGAACCAATTCAGTCCCTAATTTTAACCATTTTATTACAAAATAGTTCTCAAACGTTTGAAAGATATGTAATTAAATTTCATTTAAGACGAATTTTAACATTAGTAACTAAGGGCATATTTGATTCGAGCGGAGAAGAGACAATTACTTGATTTTGTTACCAAAAAAATTAGAGAATGGAAGGAAGACAAAAGTCATTTACTTTATTTTTCACTTTTAACTCTTTTAATTATTTTAACTTTTTCAAATGATAGAAAAGGAGAGAAGAGAAGAGATTTAAGAGTCATAATAATCTATTAAAAAATAAAACATTAAACAATTTTTTTATTTAAAGTTGTAAAATTTATAAAAACTAAAAACCATAAATCACCTAATAAGCAATAAAGACATAAACCTAATAGGAAAGAAAAATCAGCCGAGCGAGGGGAAGAGAAGCCTCTCACCTTCATGCCATGTGTGCCACATGGACAGACAAAAATGCACTACCTGCCTTCTCAAACCGGAGCTTCACAAAGTATGGTTTTTCTTGTACCATATGAAGTTCAGAAATAAATTAAAAAGGTGCTCTAGCAATAGGACCAAAACTATATAATTAACCATACTTACAAACTTCGTCAGATGATGTTCAGGAACTCAGCCACTAGCTGTTAAACAGAGACAAACTTTAGCAAGAATGATTTAGCTGATGACCCCTTCTTTTGAGCGCAAGATTTGTTAAGTCCATGCTATACTTAGAATATATTTAAATTCACATGTGAACTCTCAGCAAAGAACATAAGAGGATATCAAGATTGAAGAAGTAGATGACATACCCGCGTGCTTGACAAAAAAAGAAATTATAAAAGGTGAACAACTGATAACAAACGTAACTCTTTCTTATAACTGAAGTGGCCAAGCAGTAGAGTCAACTTTCAAATACAGGCAAGTCAATGAAGAAGTCAACAAGAGTCGGCTATAATTATGGCTGCATTTTAAGTTGTTAAAGTGAGTAAAAATCGTCAAATTTTTATTTTATTTAATTATTAAAAATAATTAATAATTAATAAATTAGTTGATACTTATTATGTTTAATAAATTAAAATTAATTTACAAATAAATATCTTTAAATATTATAATTAATTATTTAAAAATTTATAAATTAATAAAATTACAATCAAATTAATGATATAAATTACAAATTGAATAGTTGTAATAACCTCAGCCACAATAATCATCTATAGATATCTTCAAGGAGATGCTTGGCAAATGACAGTGACACTAATTAAAATTTGAGCTTTGCTATTTTGTAGTGTATTGTAAAATAGAAATCTTTGATAAAAGAGAGCCCTAAATGTTAAAAGATTAGTCTCTATTTAATAATAAATATTATATAATTTGATATAATTTAAAGAGATAGATATTTATTAATTGGATTCTTAAAATACTAAGACGAAAAAAAATTTAAAATTATGTCACTTAAATAATCTATAATGTGAAAATATCACAATACTTTCATTTTTATTTAAAAATTAGGTTATTTTAATTCTTTTAATGAATTTGACTAATTTTATGAGAGAAACTTAATTAAAATATTAAACAAAACTACTTAATTCATAAATATAATAATTCTTTAAATATACTAATTTATAAATGTGTTGGTTTTATAAATATGATTAATGAAATTTAAAAAAATTAAATAAATATAAAGAATAAGAGATGCTAATTGAAATATATAAAATGAACCGTCTGCTCATTTTGTATAATTTATAATAAGATTTGTTAAAAGATTTTTTTAGCCTGTTTTTTTAATACACAAGTTAAAAATAAAATTTTATATTAAATGTACATAAAAAAATATAAGTTGATATTAATTTTAATATAAGATAAATTTAATTAAATAATTGATAAATCAAAA